TTCTGGGATATACTTAAAATTAGGATTTCTACTTTTCCTAGGAAGAACAATCCTTAAAGAAGACAGATTGAGAAATAATTAGATGTAAGATTCTCTAGAGGAACCACAGATTTTTCAACAGCTCTTAATTTTTAACAAATCTTAATTGAATGTTTTTTTCATTCCTAACAGGAATAAAAACAACATTCAACACTTTTGCATAACTAACAGGAATGTTGCTTGGTCACAAGCTATAGAAAAGTTTAAATGATAAAATAACTTTAGCAATGGTGATTTGAATGTCAAGTAATAGACTAACCTGCTTCTCTGAGATGTAAAAAAAAGTGCGACCATTAGATTTAAGAGATGAATTAGAAGAAAAGATCAGAGTCATGCATGAGATATTGTTAGACTTGCTCATGTTAATGACAATATTTAAGATTTTCTAAAAGTCAATATTTAGTGTCACCAATACTTATCTTTCTGCACCAATATTTAGTGTCAGATAATATCTTTCTGCATCAATAATTAGTGTCAGATAATATCTTTCTGCAACAATATTTAGTGTTAGAAGTTTGCTCTCAAAAAAATTTTTCTAGTGAAGAAAAAAAAGGAAAAGATTACAATTGGAAAGAGCAGCAGTGTAAAAAAGAGAAAACTATGGGATAGGGTTAAACTTGACTTAAAACAACAACAAGGAACAAAAACTTCAAAACCTGCCTGAATCCAGGAGACTACATAGGAAGTGCAAATTTTAGCAATCAGATTAAAAAAAAAACATGCAAATGAAGAAGCAAAAATAAGTGACTTGGAATGTTTTAAAAACAAAAGTTATTTATCTGAGTTAGAGATTGAGAAACACAAAAGTTTTGAGTTTAAGTTAGGCTTTTTATAAATGTGAAAGGCAACTTTGTGTAAGATTACACTAGTTAGGTTAGGCTAAACATCTGTTTGAGAATATTTAAATAACTCTAAATACATTTTTAAATGATATTTTAATGAAGTAATTTAATGAAGTAACAATATTTTAACAGTATTTTAATGAAGTAGTTAACATTTTAAAACCACACACAATTGTTAGAAAAGTTCAAATTACAAATACATAAAATAGGTTCATTATTAGTTGTATTTGATTTCATGCTACTAGTAGCAATGGTAGCAGTGTTACTAGTAGCAGGGTGTTATTGGTTACAGGGTGTCATTTGTATTTGATTTCATGTTACTAGTGATCATGATAATCCTGACCTGACTTGAATTGTCATTTTATAAAGTACCAAGATCAAAACAGAAGATACTACATAAAATATTTAGATATAAAACAAAATGCCAGAAACTACTACAACAAAAATCAGGAAGCCATATAAATCCAAACATTAGAGCTATAAAAAATATTAGGAATGAGATGTAATATTAGGAACTCACTTAAGTAACAGGATCTAAATAAAATAAAATAAAATTTATTTTATTTACATAAGCAACAATTATGTAAAACATTAGGAACCACACAAAAATATTAGAAACCACTTAAAAAATATTGGCCAAACTAGGACAATTTTAAAAATTTTCCATATTTTAAATTTTTTATTTCAAATATTGATTTGTAGTATTATTTTCAAAATTAATATTTCTAGTTTATTAACATGTTATTTTAAAGGATTTGAACAGATGAATTTATTACATAATATTAACATACATAAAGCAAAAATATTACTAAATAGTGTTGTAATGTGTTTGGTGTTAAATATTGGCATACTTTTTCTTAATTGCAGGCGGACATGTATCATACCATCTTTTTTATTTCGCTATTAACAAAGGCAGAAAAAGCTGTCACTATCTTTACACAACGTTCTACTGCGTGTGGCACGGTAACTTATCCAAAATATTACTTAGTTGAATGGAATTCTCTTTTGCTTCTTTCAGTTCCTCATGAGTGAGCAGCATTGTTAGTGGTGGCTCTGTCTTCTGTGTATTACTCCAATCAATCAACTCATATATTCTTTGCCATAAAATTGAGAGTCGAAACTTTGAATTGCCGTACACTACTTTGATTAGCATTCATACTTCTTTTTTCGCTAGCTCTCTGTATATGCTTAACACCTAATTCTCCGATTTGTGGCTGCTCATCTAATATTATTGCCAGAAGAATATTTGTTTGAATAATTTTGTCTATTACCTTACATAATGCATCTGGCAGATATGGCAATTTGACTATTGTACTGCATAGATGCCTGCTGCCATGAAAAATAGAAGACTCCTTGATGATAAACCATATAGGGGCATAAACGCGCATAATCTATGTTGCTATAGTTACTAAATTTGACGAAGTACTGGTTGTAGAAATATAAAATCTGAGGATCCTGTTGGCAGTGGTGAGTCATCTAGAATGAGCCAGTTTTCCAGGGCTGCGTTTTTCCAGATGTCATAACAAGTACCATTTAGTACAGCTTGGCAGATGTCAAAAAGGTAAAGCTGATCTGTACTGAGCACTTTTCTGTCCACCTCTAGCATTTCTACATTATGGTTTATAGGTTGAAAATCAATACACTTTAAGATCTCACAAGTTTTAAGGGACTTTCCAATAGAACCTGAATAGTATCTAGGACCAGATGTTGATCCACCCAATTCTGAAAATAAATTATGTAGTGGAAGCTCATTTGCATATAACAAACAACCTACCCATTGTAGAGGCCGCTGTAGTTCTAACTCAATCAATCAAATCACATTACCCTTGTTTCCAATGTTTACATTTGTTCCATCAAAGCCAAGCACTTGTTAATCATCCAAAATGATATTATGTTTTTTAAAGTACTTTAGAATTTTAGATTTTATAGCTTCAGCTGTTTCGTTAAGAGGAGTGCAGTGTCCCAAAAAACCCCTCAAGGTTCCTGAATTAATGAAATGTGCTCTTCCATCACTATGGTTTTCTTCTTATTAAAAATTTAAGGGTCTGTTCTTTTTTGCCATCAAAGTACAACGCCTTTGACTTCACTAACTTTCAAGTTACCCTTAGCTTTCATGCGCTCATGTCTTATCTTGCTCCAGTCAATAGAATATTTTTTGTCATCATTTGAAATAATGCCAATATCTTCAAGTACAGCTGATGCCATAGCTGCAGCAGATCTGTCTTAGAGTCCATGGCAGTTGCAGACTAATGAAAGAAAAGGGAGAGACAATCGCATTTGCTTTGAAAATGGTAATGATGATGATGGAGTGTTTTCATCTATAAGCAACTGTTTTAAAGTAATGGGTATGGCAGAAGCAATAGAATTTAGCGCCACTGCATCATTAAGGTTTGAGCTTTGTTTGCTTTGGGAATTCTGCAGTAACTTCTTTGTCAATTGATCCAATACCCATTTTATGTTCAATCCTTTGATCTTCCAGAAAAGTGTGCTCCATAGCTGGTACCATATTAACTTTGGCACAGCAGTTTTTTTTAGATCTTTACATTGGCAAGCAGATATATCAAAGAGTTTAACAATTTTGTTTTTATAGAAATGAAATTTATTATTTTTATTTTCTGTCAGCAATTGGAAATTTTTGCAACTTTTTATTTTGCTTAAATAGGTTATAAACTCTCTTTGTCAATGATGTAAATGATGACACAGTAGGTATGTTGCATTATTCCCAAATTTTTAAGATATGCATTGCTGTTGAAACTGCTTCAATCTTTTTGTAGGCTTTTCCAGGAAGTTTTTGTTAAATTTTATTATATATTTAACTTTATTATTATTTGAAAAAATGATATGTAGCATAGGTTGCATACACTTTCTCGCAAATACATTATATTCTGCATCACATCTAGTCCTGTTGGCAGTTGCACCTCAGAGAGAGGCTTTGAAAAGCCAAAGAATGGACAATCTGTTTTAGATCTTAAAAATCTATTTACTGAAATATATTTAGCAAAGTTTTAGTATATTATAGTATTATCATAGTATCAGTAAACAACATATTCTTACTAACATTTAAAAATATGGTTTGTATTGAAACTTTGAGTAGAGCATGTATTTTATTATTCAATTTTTTCAATTAAAATATCTTTCTTTTAAATGTGTTTTAAAAAATTTCAATAAATTTTTTAATACAAATGTGATTAATTTGGTCATAATACTAATGGATAATTCAAACATACCAATGTAGGTTTAGTGTATGATTTCACTTTGTAACTTCTACTTAAAAAAAAAAATTTCAATGTAAAATTTGCGCTTTAAAATTTTAAAAGTAGTATTAGTCAAAAATTGCTGCAGGCAGTAATTCTTGTCCAATTTTGCTCATTTTGGTCTCGTTTTTTTAGTTTTTTTTATAGCTAATATGAAAATCAGAGAGAAAAGTTATATTTCTGAAAAATATTATTTTCACTCCACCCTAGTGGCCGCCCTGTGTTGATGATTTAAACTTTCGATTTTTATTATTTTTTTTTTTTTTGAAAGTAAAAAATTTATTATAATTTAATGAAGAATTGGTTATGACATGTGGTTCATATTGATGCAAGTTATAAGTAACTTTAAAAAAAAACTTTTAAAAAATGTAAATGACTGGTTAACATAAATTTATCCATATACCATGTTATTAAATTTGTTTCATTGATCATTTTTAATTTATCATTTTTACCAGTTTTTTTAAGTTAATGTAGTTTTAACTATTTATATTTTTCTCATTTGTTGTTAACAGTGATTTCCTTGCTCGGATTGTTTTCATTTCTAAATGAGGTTTAATAGAAATTTTAAGAGACATTTTATGAGAGATCTAAGTCTTAACTAAACAAACTCCGATACTTTACCTTTTTTTAAAAAACTCTAATACTTTACTGGCTTTTTTTAAACAACTTATTTTCTAATCGAAATTCTTATAAAAGTTTTATTTTTGGTTAACTTAACTTTGAATAACTAACGTTATTAATTAAAATCTTACCTTACTATTTAAAGCAATATGGAATAAATAATAATAACAATAAAATAACAATATACTTATTTTGGTGGAAAAATATTTTCTCAGTAAAAAAAACAACAAACAAACAAACTTACCTAGATTCCCTCATATAATGAATAACATTTGAAACCCACCAATCCATGCATTTCTTGTTTTGTGAAAGACAATAAACTAAAAGCTCACATATCTAGTAGAAAATAAGTAGGCTTGAAATAATTTAGTGTTCACATTGTCTATTCAAAAAAAATTTTTTGAAAAAAAAAAATGTCCACATTGATAAATTCTTATAACATAAACGTTGTTTATTAGGCTTTCAAAAGATCAAATTATTTTTATTTGCTAACATGTACTTCTAATAAAAAATAATGTGCAAGAGCTGATCACTGAAAGAAAAAAATATGTGAGTACTGGTGCTTAGATTCTTAGATATATTATTTCAGTTACCTTTTAAAGATGGCGCATCTTTTTTATTTGATTTGCACTAAATTTTATTTAATTTTTTGATAATTTTGCTACCAAGACAACTGAAAAAACGTTGACTTTTTTACATATTTAAAAAGATTGAGTAGTAGCCAAGTTTGACATCTAAAGACCACAAATATGTATTTATAAATCTTTGTCAAGCGATCCAGTAATAAAGCTAAAAAATATGTTTCAGGGTTTTTACCAATATTTAAAAAAACGGTTTTCTTTAAATATATTCTATATAAGTTTTCTCACGAGCTTACATAAATGATTTAATGAAGTTTTTTCTATTTTTCGAATACTTAACATTTTAATGAAAATGTTAGAGATTTTACGTAAAATTAAAACAAATCATTTTGATTGAATGAAGATTTAGTTGAATACAAACAAAACCATTAAGCAAAATAAGTTAATGACCATCTAATAATTGTAATTTATAGATTGAACAACACAAAGCAAACTTTCAAATTGAAAAATATATTTTTCAAATTGTAAAATAACTTCTAAATAAGCAAATATTATGATCTATATTACAGAGTGCACTTGGAATTGCATGCAGTGTGTTTCTTATGCTAAACTTCTATCTGTTCAAAAAAATCTTAAAATTTTAAATATTAAACTTATTACCAAGTTTGTAATCTTCAAGTCTGAATATTTTCGTAAGCTCTGAAAAAAGTTAATAAAACAGGATTTTGATGTTTCTTCAGGTTGATTAGTCATTAAAAGGACCTAGGAATCAATATAAAAAAGTAATAGCATGACATACAAAAGCAAAAACATATATACAATAACATATATTGTAGCAGTATATAAAAAGTAGTATATAGAAATCACAAACTTAAGTTTGAATAACTTAAATTTAAATAAACTGTATTTAAATGAAACTTACTTTGAAGCATTGAAAATGACTCTTCATATCATTCATTAAACTAGTAAAATAAACCTTATTAAATTTGTATGAAATATAAATAAAAATAAAAAATAGTATTGCAAATGCAAAGCAAAAGAAAATATATATTCAAAGTAGTAAATTGCATTAAACAGGGTTTAAGTTTGGAGATAGAGATGCAGAGCTCTTGTTTTAACATACTTACAGTACAGAGTAGAGGTTTTACATCAAGGATGGCCACAACTTTTTTGATGAGGGTTAAAAATAACTTTTTAAATGTTAACTGGGGGCCATAGGTTTTTAAAATTTTTTTATTTAAAAATATTGATTTTTTTAATTTACTAAATGTGATCTTGCAAAGGAATACTATGCACACATATAATAGCTAGCTTTAGACATATATTTTACACATATATTTAGCTAACTTTAATAGCTTTAGATACAGTACAAATAATAGTTTATTGGTAATCACGAAGTTGCCTTTTTTTCACCATATTTTTATTGTCAATTGGAAACTGACTGGTAGCAACTTTTAAAGTATTCTGCAAGTTAATATCTGTCAATTTTTCATACAAGCATGTCCTACCAAACAAGAGATCTATCATTTTTGCATTGTCAACTAAGTTTTTGTAATTATTTTTAGGGATGTACCAAAGCCAAGAATTTGCAGAAGCTTATGCCAAAGCCAATTGCCAGAGCTTTTATATCTATACAGGTAATGTTTGCTATCTTGCATATCTAACTATATTACTAATCATTAACAAACAATATACCTACCCAGCCTGCATTTGGTTCTTTTTGAAATTTTAAAATATGTACTTTCAAAATACATGCTGGTTATTTTAAAACCTTATTTTTCATATAATTTATATTTATATTTCATAAAACCTTAATTTCTTTATTATCACATAATATTTAATAACACATTATATTTAATAACTACATTATATTTCATAAAAATTTTTCCATGTTTTTCTTAAATGGTCAACCTTGACCGGCAAGAACTCGTTTTTTGAGGTCAAACAAATAATTTTTTTTTTTGAATTGTTATTGACTGTTTATCCCCTTTATTTTCTATGCTGAATAATAATATTGCATTTAATCTCTTTAAAGTATCAAGTCTAAAGCATTATTTAAATTTAACTAATAATATAGCAGTTGCTTAGTGCTTCTAATAGTTGTAGAAATGTTGTACAATAGAGACTTGTTATGCAACTTAACATCGATTGTATAATGAATTTTATGTTGTAAAACAATTGTTGTGGAAAAAGAAACAAATTGGTTCCTGAAAAGTTGCTGTACAACAAAATTGCACAACTATTTTACATTATTTCTATAGTTACTGGAAACCAAGATTTACTAATTTTAATTACTGAAAAATAATTTACAAAAGCCAATGATTCGGCAAACAATACCCCCGGCTTCAACTTAAGCCAAATTTTTAATACATCCTTACTTATTTTAGTTAAAATTTTTGTAAAATATCAGCAAATTTTGTTGATTATATGCCTTTCTCAAAACATCACTGGATTAAACATCAATTAACTTTATTTGGAATTTTTTCTGTTACAGTTTCAATTTCAAGAAAAAATGGCACTGCGAAAAATTTAAATTTTTCAGCATGTTTCTCAATATCTGCAAACCTTTTTGAAAATCTTGTTTTTAATTCAGCAATAAAGGTAACAAATTCTGCTGTGTTTCCTTGCTCGCACAAGGTTAGAAAATGACTAAAATTTCCAGTCCTTAACTGCAACTTTGCTTCCACAAAGTTAGTTTAACTGAAAAGCTTGAATAAAATTATACATTTTTCTAATTAATTTATCTTTTCCTAGAGTTCTTTGTTAAGTAATGTTGGGTCAGGTCTACCAGAAATGCAAACTTTTCAATGAACTCCTATTCTTGTAACTCTGGTAGATAATTTTTGTTCGTACTTTTAAAAAAATTTATTATCTTTTGTCTCAAATCAAAAGTTCTTTCAGCATATTACCTCTAGAAAGCTTACCTTAGTATAATAAAACAGACCACCATACTCAGAGTCATTTTCATTAAGAAATGCCTCAAATTGCCTACTTTGTAAAGTGTAAGATTTAATGCTGTCTATTGTTTTAACTACTAAAGGTATAACATTTTTCACCCCCATAACGTTTGCTGTTAAATTTTCTGATGAATGCCACTTAACTAATGACAAGTTATTTTCTGCAATTTTATTTTCCAATCTGGAAACAACACCAATATTTCTTGCAAGACCTAAGTTAAAACACCTAAATTTAGATTCAGGAAAACCCACATCCAGATATTTTAACTTTAGTTAAATCCACATCTAGATGTTTTAAGTTCAAACATCTAGATGTGGTTGTAGCACTGAAGTATTGACATTTTAGATCTGTACAATTTTAATAAAATACAGAATACAAATACTACTTAAAACTTAGTAATTATCTTTATAAAATTATTAGAAATCTGAAAAAAATTAAAGACATGCAACCTTGGAGTATGTGATAGAATAGATTGATCACCAACCATAGTTTCTATCAACTGTAACATTTGATCGCTGTCGATAACTTGTCTGTCCACTTTCGTTGTATTTACATTTCTGAAAACAAATTTAAAATATAATCAAAATAATCTTAGAAATGTAATTAAAAATAAATTTTTTTCTTTCATACTTTTTCTTGAAAAAGGAAGAACACACTGACATTTTAATAAACAACCAAAATGAAAATAAGAAACCAAAAATAAAATGATAAAACATATTTTAAAACATTTGTTATACATTTTAGTGAAAAACATAAAATACAGTGGCGTACAAACTGTTTTTTCTCTTGTGCTATTTTAATCTGTTTTGTACAGATCAATCATGTAAAATAAAATTGGATGAACAAAATTTAAAATTTAAACTTATTATTATAATTCATTAAATCAGCAACTTGATTATTTTCTTAAAATAAAAAATTTATTTTCTTAAAACCCAAACATGAATTTTCATTAATTTAAAGAAATTTAAAAATTAAAAAAATAATTATTAAAGAAAAATATTTTTTTTCTTACTGAAGTAAATTTTTAAGAAAATGAAGTGATGCAGCCGCATGATGTTTTTTGTCCAATACACCATTAAACATGGCCGACCACCATACTAAACAATTTTTTTTAAATATTATTTGTATTTTTCAAAGTAAACACAAAAATTCACATGTTTAAAAATATAAACAAACACAAAAACTTACTTGAAATTCCATCTTTAATGCTGCTAGTATTTTGTGAAAAGGCCCATATAACAGCAATGTAAGCATCACTATTTTTCGATTTACCACTGACAATCTCAAGAGAAAAAACAATAACATTTAAAAAGGCTCAAAACTAAAAAACATCTTTAGGCAACAAACTTTATATAATTTGAGAAAAGTAAAAAATCTAAAATTTAAAACTAAATATTTTTTCAACAGAAATATAAAATGTTTTTTGCTAAAGTTTCATAATAGGCAGTCAAACTTGAACCAGAACATGAATAAATTTTGAGACACACGGTGTAGATGGTAGACTGATGGTGAACATTAACAAACCATAATACAACATTAAAAAAATTACTGATTCTTACTTCATTGCAATTTTCAACAAAAACTTCCGGTTGAACTTGAGCCATTAATTGAATAAAAATGCGAAGAGCAGCTGTAGCATGACCTAAAAAATTTTAATAAAAAAAAAATTAACATTTAAGTATACTAATTTATGTTATCTATACAGTCATATATATGCAAAATAAACTTTAAAAATTTCTTACCTTTCTGTATTTCGTCAGCTAAAGAAGCAACAAGAAACACAAAGAAGCTACTGAGAGTATTCCTATCACATTTTTTCATCAGCTCTACTAACATTCCACTTACATTTTTTGACAATGAATCACAAGGATAACCTGAGAAAAATAAAATTTTTTGATCTATTAAAACTATTTTAAAAAAAGTTTTAGTGTACATATATTCTTCCAGAAGCACAAAATCTCATATATACCATAGAGACTGAAAGCTTAACAGTATATTTAAAACAGTTTATGAAAATAGATATTTAGTTTAACTATAACAAAAGAATCCGTATATGAGTCGCACTTTTTTGGTAAATATAAAAATTGCATGCAATTAAATTCATACTACTATGTTATTATAAATGTAAAAAAAGGTTTAATAAATAATTTTTTTTTATACCATCTTTGCTTCCAACAAAGCTGCAAGCAACCACTAATTAGAGTTGGAAGTTACTGGAAGGGAAAAGATGAATTTTATAGAGCAAGATAACCATTGATAGACGACTTAAAAGATTGCAAATTATATGAATTAGAAAAGCAAGAAAAAGGAAGCGAGTTCCAAAGAACTGATGTTTTAGGAAAAAAACTAGATGAATAAGAGTGTTTGAAGCACTTAGGAACAGTCACAGAAAAAGGATGAGACTTAATTGAATGACGAGTAACACAAGAATAAATTTTAGTAGGTGGCACAAGAGACACTAGCTCTTTAGAGCAGCACCCATTATAGCATTTACAGAAAAGAGAAAGAGAAGCAACATTATGATGATGCAATAATGGTTGAAGGTTGGCTGCAAAAGCAGGTCCAACTATGTTTACAATGCATTTTTGCACCTTGTCTAAAAGAGAAAGAAAGATCTGCCCCAGATATGGCAACAGTATTCCATACAAGGATGGATTTGAGATTTATAGAGATAAAGAAAAGAATCTGGAGGAAGAAAATGTCGAGCAGGATAAAGAAATGCAACCTTAGTAGCTGCTAATTTTGTAATGGATTTGATATATGGTTTCCAAGAAAGATCGAAGGTATACTACTGTGATCAAAAAGTAAGGTGAATTTTTTTATAAAATGAAAAATCTTTATTTATTCTTCCAAATCTGTATCGTCCCCCTCAAAATAATCCCCTCCGGCCCCAATGCACTTTTGCCAACGTTTTTTCCAGTCTTCGAAGCATGCCGAAAAGTCCTCGGTAGGGATAGCCTTCAATGGACGTGCCGATTCACGTTGGATCTCTTCAATAAACTCAAAACGATTTCCCCGGAGTGGTCTCTTGAGCTTTGGGAACAGCCAGAAGTCACACGGTGCTAAGATGAGCGAATACGGTGTTTGTGGAGCACATTGGGTATAGTTTTTGGCGAAAAACTCACGAAGAACTAGTGCTGTGTGCAAAGGCGCATTATCGTGGTGCAAAATCCAAGAGTTATTGGCCCATAATTTCGGTCTCTTTTTGCGATTAGCTTCACGCAAACGTCGCATAACGCTTAAATAATATTCCTTGTTGACAGCTTGGCCAGTTGGAAGGAATTCGTAGTGCACGACACCACAATAATCAAAGAAAACAGTCAACATGACCTTGATTTTTGAGCGACTTTGGCGTGGTTGCTTCGGTCTCGGTTCGCCTTTTTCACGGTATTCACTCGATTGATCGGTTGTTTCAGGGTCGTATGCGTAGACCCAAGTCTCATCGCCAGTAATAATTTGTTTGTAGACGTCTTGATAGCCAGAAAGCATTGCTTCACACGCTTTAACGCAACGCTCTTTTTCAAAGAAATTGAGAAATTTCAGCACCAAACGTGATTTGAGTCTTCTGAGGCCCAAATGATCCTTCAAAATCGATTGCACCAACCCAAATGATATTCCAACCATGTCAACAAGGTCTCGAATGGTTAACCGACGATTTGCAAGCACCAATTCTTTGATTTTGATGATGTGGTAATCATCAATCGAAGTCGATGGTCATCCGGAGCGTTCCAAGTCATCAACACATTCTTGGCCTTCCTTGAAGTCTTTGTACCACTTGTAAACATTTTTTTGAGACGTAGTCTCTTCACCGAAGGCCTTTTGCAACATTCGATACGTTTCAGCAGCAGAAATATCATTCCGCAAACAAAATTTAATAGCACTTCTTTGCTCAACAAAATTAGACATCGTGAAAATCGCCGAATGCACTTTTGGTACTTAAGAAACAAGCGTAAACAAAAAAAAAATAATTATGAGTTTGACATGTAATTTGGCGCAAATGTTAATGACATTCCTACCAACTTAAAAATAAAAAAGATTGGACGATTCGAATAAGGCGGGAAGTTTAAATTAAAAATTCACCTTACTTTTTGATCACAGTAGTAAGTTAATCCTTAAAGATGAAGGGTAGATGACTCATCGAGTACATTACCGTTAAAAAATATAGAAAGATCTAAATTATTGCAATAATGATTGGCTGAAAAAAATTGGGTTTTATCTGAATTAAAGTTCATCAGCCACTGTGACCCCCATGCTGTAGCAGAAGTGAGATTCTTTTCAAGCTCAAATGCCCCCTCCCAGCAATCAGGGAGTGTTGGCTTCTTATCAAGACAAGAATAAATGGTAGTATCATCAGGGAACAACACCACCTTAGATGTAAGAATATCTGGAAGATCGTTAATGTAAATTAAAAAGAGTATAGGGCCAAGGGTAGAACCTTGAGGAACCTCTGAAGTTACAGGATATGAAGAAGAGTGCTGTCCATCAAGGGCAACTTTTATACTTCAATTGGAAAAGAAGGATTCAATAATCTTAAAGATGTTACCAGATGCACCATAAGAGGAAAGCTTATGGAGAAGACCAGCATGTCTTTATTTTTTTCTAAAACTTTATTAAAAGCTTTAGAAATGTCAAGAACCATGGCCTTAACCTCTCCACCTTTATCCAATGCACAATAAAACCTATCAGTTATTACTGTTAGCAAATCAGCTGTAGAACGAAGGATCAAAATCCAAACTGATGATTAGAAAGTAAGTTATTAGATTAAGTGTTTGTTAATTAAAGATTAAAAAACCTTGCTTATCATAGGAAGAATACTAATGGGACGGTAGTTAATTTTTGAAAATAGTGATAACAGATGCTGCTTTCCAGCAGGCTGGAAAACAAGAAGAAAAAAAAGTTTAAAATTATTCTATTCAATAGTTGCTTTGTAAGATAAACTTTTACAGTTTTAACCATTTTTTAAAATTTGTTTTAAAGCACTTTTTTTTATAAATAACATACAACCTGCAAGTTATTTATAAAAAACTATTCCTAAGGTACATATACTAGAGAGGGTGTAATCCTTCACAATAAATAACTATATGATTTTTTAGAATATGTTAGATTTTCTGTTTGTGTTTTGTTTGTTTTTTTGAGGGAAGAGGAAGAGGAGAAGGGTTGTGGGAGGCATGAAGGAGTGATGCACATTTTTATTACAAATCTGCTTTCTACAAACTTTCTCTTTTATAAGATTTAAGGTTTTCTATTTGAAACCAAACTACCAAACTCAAAACATTTACTATCGACTACATACTTTAGAACAATTCACACTAATTGCAAACAAAAAAAAAAAAAAAAATCAAGACAAAGTATGTTTTACAATTATTGATGTTGATGATTATATGATAATTATTTTAAGTATTAGTTATAATTATTATTATTGTTATTATAATTATTATTACTACCTTGTTTTTTGTTTAATAAAGCAAGATCTGCCTTTTCACTTGGTCCAGTAAGTTCTAATTGAAGCCAGGTCGCAATTTCCTTTAACCATATCTGTTAAACAAAATCATTAGAATATTCATTTTGTCTACAGGAATAATATTAAAAATAACATTTACAGGACTCATATAACAAACAAAATAGGTCTAGCGGGGTCTGTTTCAAAGTAAACTATGGTTTTTTTTGAAATTTTTTTAAGGGAACATCACTAAAACTTATATAACTTTTTTAAATATTTGTGATAAATTTTTTTTGTAAAAAAATTTGTAAAAACAAACTTTTCATCTTATGACATTTAATTAAATAATTATAACCTTTTCCTTTGATTTTTGAATAAATGCACAAAACTTAGCTAAATTCAATTAACTTAATGTTACTTTTTAGCAAAAATAATCAGAGAAACTATATTTCTGATATTTAATATCTAATATAAAGATTTTTAGGCCAATTTAAAAAAAAAAAAAAACTTAATTTAAATGTGAACTGATAAGGGATATGAAAGTCAGACAACAAAATCACTAAAAATATCAACAGAAAATTTCTCAACAATTTGTTTTACAAAAAACAAAACACTATTTTTCAAGGGTTGAATTAAGGGTTGATTAATTAAATCATAATAAAAGTAAAGACAAAAAAATATATTTCTAAATATACTTCTTTATAACTAAAATTTATTAAATTGAACACCTCTGTTTTAGTTTTAAGTAAATGCCAGTACTACTCTCAGTGGCGAAACTGCAGGGGGGGGGGGGGAATTTAGCTACTGACTACTCCAGGGGTCGAAATAAGTGCCAGACATCGCCGCCCCTCAGACCATTTTTGAGACCTGCTATATGAGGGCAACCAACCATTGTTCATTTTTTCTGCAAAAATGAACAATGGTTTGTTGCCCTCATCTAGCAGGTCTCAAAAATGGTCTGAGGGGCGGTGATGTCCGGCACTTATTTCGACCCCTGCTACTCTAATGTGACATTAGAGTAGTCAGTAGCAAAATTCCCCCCCCCCCCACGATTTTCAAAATGAGCCCCACATCGCCCATGCAACCTAAAATTAGTTAAAAATAGGACCCACCCCACCCACCATCACCCGCAGTTTCGCCACTGATTCTAATTTAGAAAAACAGTTATTTTTTAGAATTTTCACAAAATATTTTAAGAACTTTCACAAAATACCTCAAAAAATATTGTTTTGCAGAGAAAATCTGCCAGTTGTTAAATTTCGTTATTAACTTATATTGGCGACATTTGTATTAAATCTTAATTTGGGATACACATTTTAACATAATACGAGTATAAAAAAAGAACAAATGTAAAATGGCATTTTTAAATAAATTTTTCTAATAAAATAATTTTTGATTGGCTGAAATTTCAGTATCGATTTCGATAAAATATTTGCCGAAATTTTAGTTTTGGCATTAAATTTGAGTACCCGAAATTTCGGTTTATTTGGGTTTTGGCTTTTTTCTGCTTCAGTCAACCACTATTTATCAGCAATAAAAATTCATTAAAAAAAAATTGAAAATATTAAAGGAATTTGCACCTTTATTCCCAACAATACACTGATGGGTTTTAGAGTTTAAAGATAGTTGTACAAGCAGTGTCGCATATAAAAAAAACTACTGCCCTAACCTAAACCCTTAGTCAATGAAGCAGCACTCCCTAAGTGATTTCTATTTAGTCAGTTGATGTACTGTACTGAACCTTTCTGTTCATGTGCTTAAATAGATTAAATTAATTTACTAAATTTACATTTAAAATTCTTTATATAAAGTACAAATATTTATTACCAGCTGATGAACTGGAAACTTTAGTTGAATATCTTTAATTTGTTCCTGCAACCGAACTGCATTGATCTAAATAAAAAATAATTTATAGTAAAATACTATTTATCCCTTTTAAGTGCCCAGTACTTTAATAAGATGTAACTAAATATGATAAACAGCAATTAAGTAACTGAAATAAAAAAATTAGCAGCAATGAATAAAAACAATTACAATTGTGTCAAGTAGCACTTTGAAATTTAATATCATATTTATTATTTTTACAACTTTTTGTTTAACTTAATGAGTTATTTGTCTGTTGTCAGTCCCAGAATCTTGCAATCGATTTTTCACTATCTTTTAGACTAGCTATAGCTCTGAACTTTTCAGCATATGTAATGTCCAGATGAATATAAATATTAAATGTATTTCTAGCAACAACAAACCAGAAACCGGGACATATACCCCACTTTTTTGTAGCAGAATCTTGCTATTGATTTTTTACTTCCTTCCTTTTTACTACTAAAGGCCAAACATGCCCTTAATTTTTGCAGTGGAATCTTGCCATTGATTTGAACTAGAGATCTGGAACTTTCAGCATTTGTGTAGCTCCAGCATTTGTATTGCAAAAGCGATTACAAAATTAACAAAAACTTTGAAAAAGTTGTCTTTAAAAATGTTTTTGATTTACATGTTGACTATATAGTTAACAGTTTTAAATCTAACAAAATGAATTAAAAAATCTAAAAAAAAAAAAAAAAAAAAAATTAAAACCTGTCATACCGACTGAATCTTTTCTTCCATGTTAAACACAATAGGTGCCTTAGGTATGGTCTTTTTTTTTAAAGGACGTGATCGAGGAGAATTAGTATGTTTTTCATCGCTAGAATGTTCTAGTGGCACCATAGAAGGTATCTTTTCTTCTTTACTTTCATTAAATGCAACTTCAAATCCAGTTTTCTCTACTTTTAGAGGGTCTTGAAAAAAAAAATCTTTTAAATATAACAATTAATAAATCCTGTTCGAAAAATAAAAGTCAAGTTTTATTTTTTGAACAGGATTTATTAATTTACCAAATCATTAAAATGATTTTCACTTGCATAAAAACAAATTTTTTTGAATAACAATACAGACATATAATATAAAATATTATGTATGTGCATGTGTGTATGTTTCTAAAGCGTGTTTGGAATCTGTATTGTAAAGATGTGTGTGCAGTTTTTGAATTTTATATCAACTTAAAGCTAAATAAATTATGTTTAGAACAAATATTTTCGAACGATCGCTCTTTTGTAATTTTTTTTATAAAATTAAGCAATGTTTTTTATATAAAGTAACAACTTACGATTGTTTAAAAAGGAAACAAATGCTCTTTATTTAGCAAAGTTCGCAAGTTTTAGTTTTATTTAAGCTAAATTATTTTATAAATAAAAAAGTTAAATTTTTCAATACCTTTTTTATGTTTTGCGTAGTTTGAAAAGTTTAACATATTTGAAGCAATTCTTCTTAGTAAGATAAACAAATGAAATATGATAAAAAATTGAATTACTATAGGAATTAAATTATCAAGATAAAAATCAACTAAAAAGGTTTAAAATACTTAATGACCAGGAAGCGAAACTGCTTCACAATATCGCTAATGATGTTTAGTGAGTGGGCTTTTTAATTTTAATTAGTATTTAAAGCAGAAAAAAGTATAACGAGTTTCAAGGATGGCAACTTAAGCGAAAATAATTAGAGTTGTAAACCAATATATAGAAACTTTTCTTTATATCTAATTATTTGCTATATATATATTTGTGTTTAGTCGTGACCTCAGGCGCGGTGCTTGTTCATCCGGGAGTTACTTTGTATGCGTTGTTTGTGTTTAGTAACCAGAAACTTCTTATATGTTTGTTACATAATTAGTTTTATTAACTATAACGATTATAACTTCATTGAAAACGCAATTATTTTTGTAAGTCTTTGCTTAAATCATAAAAATTGCTTTAAAAGATACATTACGATAAAAAACAGATACACAAAATTACATTTACATAAAGAATACATACTTTTTAAATAAAAAATAAGAATATACTAATAAAATCTATAATTTATAATAAACTTTTGAAATTTTGACAACTTAATATATATTTAAAATATTTATTTTTGAAAACAAATAATATATATTTTCAAAACAAGAAAACTAGAAATCTCAAAACGTAACAAATCGTGAATATGGCAATTTCTAAAACATTTCAACAGAATACTCTAGAACTTTATTTCACTAAGTCAGCGTATTTTTTTAACTAATAGAATTAGTATTGTGGTTTATCCTCCTCCAGCTAATTGCCATACAGAGGCCACATTACCAAGGCCCCCAAAGACAGGTTTGGCTCCCCAAGGAGTGTCATAACCCGCTCTACGGACCAAGAGTAAAGTTTGGGAAAACACTAAATCCAATCCTTCAAAGTGTAATCTAAATTTTACTGACCGATGCGATCTCCAACGGAATTAAAGCTGTACTTAAATATAAAAGAACTCTGAGATTTTTATTAACATTCAATAACATTTGTATTTAATATTTATTATTAACCATGTTATTATTAATAATATTTGCATTTAATAAACTTAAAAATATTTATATCAGATTGTAAATGCCATAATCGAGTCTAGAATTTTTAAAAACTGTTTAAACAGCACTTTGACGGATTGGATTTAACGTTTCCCTGAGTTTAGGAAGAACGAAGATATGTTAGAGTGAAAGACAGAAATAGTCGTGTTAGAAAGATAGCATAAAGAAAGCGGACATAATGTAACTAAAAAATGAACTAATAGAATTATTTTCTTCGTTAATTTGGCGGGTTTTTAGTGTTCGCGAATATTCTTTTTATTCCTTCCCACAAAGATGTTTTGAGAACATTTAGGTTTATTATGTTTCCATGTATGTCCGTAAAACAAAAATTTTTTGTTTCGTACATAAACTTAAATGTTCTCAAAACGACTAAAAAACCTGGCCAGTTTTTCGCAACTAAATATAATTTCCGTGGTCAGTATTCGAGAGCGATCGCTCCCGCTTCCCGACCAAGCCTGAATATAACATTTTTTATTTACTTTATTAGTGTTAAAAACTTTGCTCCTGCTCTGGAAGTGCATTAGTATTGAAGATATGTCTATATATTATTGCAGAACTTAATAGTTTTAGTAGTAGTAGTAGCAATAGTGTCCCTTAAAACGTGTTTGACATGAAACCCTTGGCAGACATTGCAACCAAGGTAGTGGCAAGAAAGGGTCGCAGAACTTTTTTTATAAGAAAACTTGAACAAAAATGTATGCAAATATCTAATTTATATAAACTTCAAATTATGTAATGTTAAAACATACTAAAACATATTAAGTTTAACAGTTTTAATTTCACTTGAAAACTGGATTGCGACAACATCACCTTAATTTTGATCTATAGTATTTATTTCTGTTTTATAAAGTCTTTTATTTATCATATAAACTTTAAAAATTTTAATTAGTCAACATTTCAGCATGGCTAAGTGGTTAGCTTGCAAAGCTTCTGAATGAATATGCGTTTAGTAGAAAAACCTAATTATAAATCTCTTATAAGCTCTATGTATGTGGAAAAGGTGTGCATGTAAATTCTAAAAAATTGTTCTTAAAGAAATTTTTCAGAATGAATTATTTTACTACAAAATATTGATGTAAATAAGGTATAGGTATAGAAATGACCGGTGTGAAATAGATAAGTATAGAAATGGTAGCTTTGATAAAGACCCGTATTTGACAAATGTGGAAAGCTATGATATATACATATATATATATATATATATATATATATATATATATATATATATATATATATATATATATATATATATATATATATATATATATATATATATATATGGTTAAAGTATAGAAAAGTTTGGTGTGGAATAGACTTATTAGGATCAACCCTCGGAATTAGGGAAAATGAGGTCGGCAATAATTTACCGGACTCAATCTCTTTAAAAAAATTATTTGATACAGAGGTCTGACTGTAGAACTTAGAGACAAGGTCGGCAATTTTTGCAGACCTCAAACACTTTCAGGTTGGCAGTTAGGTCGGGATTGCCGAATGCCTACCCTAATTTCAAGGGTTGAAAGAATTTAATAAAACATTTAAAACTTGAAAAGCAAGTAATTTCAATTAAAAAATTATAAAATAATAATTAACAAATATTATATATTTTTTACACATATTTCAATTTACATGCCAACAAAAAAGCAAAGATAGGTTGACATTTGCATTGCCGAATGCCGACCTGAATTTCGCTGACTGCATAATTAAATAAAAAATAATCATAAAAATATTTTTATTTAGGCATTAAAAAAAAAAAGATTTATTTGCTATTTTCCTAATATGAAAAAAAATTGTAAAACCAATGCAAAGATTTGTTTGCTCTGTACATTTTTTAACTTAAAAATAAGCAAAGTGCTAACTTAAAATAAGCAAAGTGTCAAGGTCAAGTTGTCAAAACAAAGTGCTATGTGCATAGCCATATACAGCCTGCAACCCCATGCCTTTCCTGAAAAGGCTTGACAGTATACTACTGTATTTATATATATATATATATATATATATATATATATATATATATATATATATATATATATATATATATATATATATATATTTATATATATATATATATATGTATATATATATATATATATACATATATATATATATATATATATATATATATATATATATATATATATATATATATATATATATATATAAATATATATATATATATATAAATTAGGGTGGGTCAAAAAAAATTCTAAACAGTATACAACTGTATATATATATATATATATATATATATATATATATATATATATATATATATATACATATATATACATATATATATATATATAAATATATATATATATATAAATATATATATATATATATATACATATATATACATATATATATATATAAATATATATATATATATATATATATATGTATATATTTATATATATATACATATACATATATATATATATATATATATATATATATATATATATATATATATATATATATATATATATATATATATATATATATATATATATATATATATATATATATATATATATATATTAGGGTGGGTCAAAAAATTTTTTTTCTTGTTACAGGCTCTAAACATTGCTAATAGTTATTAATATTGATACTATCAAATATGAGAATGATTTTGATAGATTTAAAGGGCGCAACTTTATTGGGAAAATTACCGGTACCCTAATATTTTGAAAAAAAAGTTTTTCAAAAGTAAGTCAACCTGGTACTCAAAAGAAACGAAATTTTATAAAAAATTCAAAAATTATGATCGTTTTATAAAAATCATATTGCTGAAAAAAATTGTTATTAAAAAACATGTAAAAATGCACCTTTTTCACTTTTAGTTAAAAAACTATAGTTATTATGCAATAAAATTGAAAATAATAATTTTTATATGAAAAAATTATTATTTTTGAAACTTTTATAAAATTATAGTTGCGGGTAGAAGACATTGTTCAATCCATAAAAGTAAATACTTTCCTAAATTAGTACATAAAAAAAACAACTTTCTAGCAATGTTTAGAGCCTGTAACAAGAAAAAAAAACTTTTATGACACCCTAATATATATATATATATATATATATATATATATATATATATATATATATATATATATATATATATATATATATATATATATATATATATATATATATATAAAACAACTGTTATTTTGCTGTGGGGCCAGGATGACCTAAAGACAAGCCTGTATATAATGTAGTATATATACAACTGAAGTTTGATATATACAGAGTGTGCAAAAGTTTTTATTTTGAAAAAACTTCAAGTTTTTTAACATTTGGCTTTTCACAGAAAATAAATGAAACCAATTACTCCTCTAATGTGACTACATAGTACAACTTACTAAAATAATGATAACTTTCAAAAAAATGAAATTTTTAAACAAATTAATTTTTTAAACAAATGAAAAAGTTCCAAGAGATAGGATTTATAGTTTTTCATATTATTTTATCACAGGACATTAGTGTTATGTTAGGTAGCCTCAAGATTTTAATACTACTTGACAACCACAAGGCCTAGAGTCAAAGAAGTTAAAACTAACAATATCTATATTATGATTAGCACTCATAATATAATTTATTTCTAAAAACGACTCTAGAGTAATAATATGATTTTTTTATTTTGAATTCTTCATTGAGTGCAAATATTTCAATAATTTAAAAAAAAATTATTATATAACTGATTTATAATTTATTTATACCTCTGCTCGATACTTTTGGGATTTTATTTCCACCATCAATAAAGCTTTGTTGAGCGCGTTTCACATCAGATTTCGTTATATGACCCTTTTTTTTGTTAACGACGGTTTCCCATCCTTTTCCAGAATTATTTGACATTTAATAATAATATGTTTTAGATAATGAAATAAAAGTAAAAGAAAAAAAACTTGTGCCAATAGAGACTTCAACAAATCAAAACATTAGTCGAAAAAGAAATTAATGCTGACGTTTTTTAAAATATTTGATGACGACACATTGAAATGCTGACAACTGCAACTTCAAATAAACGCGTTAAAAAATAAATATTTTTTTAAAGAACTGTTTTATTAATATTATTATTAGGAACTAAAATTATATATTTGTCAAACGTTTATGTAAAAAATTAATTTCGAAAAAAAAAAAAAAAGGTTATAAGAATTAAGCAGAATCTTGCTTAACAAGCTTTTGGACTCCCGGTGGTCAACTTGGGCTGCCGCAATAAAACTTGCAAAACAACCACTAGAAAGCATTGCTGCCCTGACTCAAACAATTGATGATAATAATTCTTTAAAAATTGCTTGAAATTGTTGTGGTTCTGACCTATTGGTACTAAACTCTAAAAGTTTTCGTCGAGTCAAGTGTCAAATTTTCATTTCCAACCCAAAACTTAGAGATACAAAAGAGATAAAATCTTTTTTATTCAGCAACTATGGACTTTGAAATGCAATTTTCTTCTTCTAGATCTCCAAACGACAATTTGAGTAAATAATCTTGACCTTTGTACTTGCATATTTCTTTCTTTAAATTTAAACAAGATTTGTCACTTCAAAGACTGGTTCTTCAAGATTCTCATTCATCTGATAGGAAAATTAAGAATTAGTTTCTAAAAATACAATAGCTTGAACAGACACAATTCTACGCTAATAGAGTCATATAAAACAATTTAATGGAAGATATTTTGAAAGAATCTTTATTTTATATTTCTGGAAACTCTTTCTTAAACTTTCATATAGATAGGAAAATAGGCTATATTATAGTACGTTAATAAATTCTATATACATACTAATTCAAACTTTTTTAAAAAAACTATTATAGGGCAATAATCGAAGAAGAGCGTCTATTGGACAGTTATGCTCCATAGCAGGGGTTGGCTATGAGACTTAAATTTTTGCTTTACGTTCATAAAGTAATTATGTAAAATAAAGAATGATTAATTACGCAATTAATTATGTAAATAAAGAATGAAAACTTTAAATTTTATAAGTTTATGTATTTTATTATAAAGGCTAAGGCTAAAACAATCAAGGTCAAGGCCAAAAATTTCAAGGCCGAAAGTTTCAAGGCCAAGGCCTTAATTTTTGGCCTTAAGGCCAGGTCAAGGCCAAGAACTAATAGCTGCTCACAACAATGTGTTGATTTATAAACTGTCAAGAGTCTAAATGCCACCAGCTTGAGTCGATAGTTACTCTCGGGAAAGCTATTCCATGTTTCAAATATAATTAGATATTTTTTCGAGTGTTTGAAAGGTTTTTTCATTTATGATCAACTAAAAATTTACTTTATTTCTTTCCAAGCTTTCTTTAGGTATTTAAATTAAATGAATGTGTCAAAAATGACAAAACAAATAACTTAACTTTCTGATCTTTTATAAATGATCGCCAAAAGAATTCTTCATTTTTTCGATGGTTAAAACTTTACCATGATGATCTCTTTATCTAAAGATATATTTTTGAGATATATATTTTTTTGAGATATATATTTTACTACGGTTATGACAGCTTATAAAATAAGCTATCATAACCGTAGGAAAATGAACATTTTTGTAACCAATTTTTCGGGTATTCGAAAGATTTTGACAACAAAAAATGTTTTAATATCAATAAAGTGACCAAAACATTTAAGAACACCCGCCAAGATTACCAAAGGACATTTTTAAACAACAATAGATAAGAATATCATTCATTAACTTCATCAAGAAAAAAATAAAACTCGCAAAGATTTATGTTTTTTAATTTTCATTGACAATATTTATTTCCAAGTCTTTTACATTTTGAATCTTGAAAAAAAATATTTATATATATATTTTATAAAAAAGTTATACAATGTTGTTTTATGATATTTTTTGTTCAATAAAAGAAAAATTGCCAGTACTATATTATGGCCAGTACTATATTATGCTGACCATTTTGACCGATGGATATCTGATTGTGCAAAATTAAAAAATGCAAAAATGTTCACAAATGTTGTTCAACCCCCTTTATTAACAGAGAAAAAAATAAAAAAATAATAGAGCTTGTTAATATTGCCAGTCTACATATACTTTTAGGTGTTATAGACAAAAATTTAAAAGAAATTGAAAATAACTTGTTTGAAAAAAAGGAGTGTGGGTTACAGTTTGTCAACCGATATTTGTCTACAATAAATATCTGAAGAGTATCCTACCAAAGGCAGCATCATTTAGAAAGCAATGCTTGCAATAAGTTACTTAAAAAAATTTGACAACTTTGAGATGTTTTTTCAGGAGTTCTTGAAGATTCCTTATCTAAATACATTAAGGTACTTAGAGATTTTGAAAAAGTAGTCCATGGCTGTTTTGGAAAATCTAATAATTTTCCAAAACAGCCATGGACTACTTTTTCAAAATTATGTCACCTTATGTCAAAGATAGTTGTCTAGGAGCTATAGAAATCTAGGGGCTAAAATTCCTTTGAAAGTGCACATAGTCAAGCAACATATTATTAAATTCATCGATATGAAAGGTGCAGTCTTCGGTATGATAAATAAATATTAAGTTTAACAAAAGATTAAATTTATATTATTTAATTATAATAAAAGTAATTAAATACTTATTATTACACTAATACAACACTTTAAGCAAGCTTAAACTTGCATAAACTACGACGATTATTCATTAAACAGACTAAAACTTATTTTGTGCATTTTATATTCTGTACACTTAGGTTACTGGACTGAATAAGCTCTGGAATCCATTCACCATGATTTTAATCATTTTAGGCAATGGAGAAAAGTTAGAGAACACAGCCCAAACTACATTGAAGCGCTAAAAAATGCAGTTGTTGCTTACAACTACAAACACTTTTAAAGTAGCTTTCAATTTGCAGGTAGCTCGTAAAAAGTATAATATTAACCTCTAATTAACAATTGTTTAACATAATTTTTTAATACATGATATGATTATATATGACATGCAAGATATAAATAATAATTTAACCAAATAGAGCAGAAATATTTTTTACGGCCATAAAGTAGTCGGAGTTAACCCTAATTGGACCTCTGATATCTCACCCCTAGTGTATGGTTCCCTAATAGAATTTTTTAAATTTATTTTTGTGTTATATTAAACTAGATTAAAATTCATTGACAGATTTTAAATTTCATCAAAAACAATATCTAGTTTAAAAGTTACGACCATTCTTAGTTATTTCAGGGGTAAATTTGTGAAATTTTGAACTTTTTATGGTCATAAATCTTAAACGAAAAGATAATTTTTATGAAACTTGAAATCTGTTGATAAATTTTGATCTAATTTATGATATTAAAAAAAATATTATAAATATTTATGAACTTAAAAAAAAAAATTTATTAGCTAAGGAGACGTAGTTCTAGGAAGGGGGCAATTCGGGGCCGGGACGGGGTTGGGTTAGCTCCAATTACCTCAAATTTTTGCAATTCATCCTCATTTGATTCCATTATTAACATACTAAAAATTTGAGTATGCCACATAGCTCTTAGTTACTTATCTTGAACAACAAAATTGCTAGGCACTAGCTTAAAATACGTGATTTCTCCCTAGACCCCCGGTGAAAAAAATTGTTTTTTACATTTTTGAAATAAAGAAGAGTCTTCTGATAATAAACAAAAAAAAAAATTTTGGGGATGTGTTGCAAGGTCTCAGAGCATCTTCCTAAGCACCATGCCCAGATTAAATTTAAGAATTCACTTTAAATGTCATTATTTCTATACACTATTTGGTTACGGTTTGTTAAATAGCTCATTTTGGTGTCACTCCTTTGATCATATTTCTATATGAGTAACATCATCGTAAATAAATCATTAACTTGTTATTATAAATAATTTTATGCTCATAACTACCATTATAATATTAGTTATTACCACTGGCGTAGGAACAAGGGGCGGAGGGGGCGATAGCCTCCCCAACTAAAACACTAGGGGGGGGGGGGGGGATTCCGCTGTTGCTATCATAAAAGTTTTTTTACAGTTTTAAAAAAACTTTTATGATAGCAGTCTGCAATGACTCAATCACAATTAAGCATCACCATGCAAAAGTATATCCATAAAACTGTTTCAGATACTTTCACATACTATTTTTTAAATGAGTGTGTGCTGGCAAAAGATGACTAACGATGTTAAAAAGATGATGAATCACGTTGCATGTAATAAATAATTAAATAAACAGATCATTTTCATTTACTTTGCTGTATCATATAAAAATTTTTAATATATGTTTTCAGCTTCCCCCCTCACCCCCAACTTTCACGACCTTCCTACGCCACGGGTTATTATTATTATTTTTTCATTGTAATTATTGTAAATATACTTATTACTACTATTACTATTATTTGTATTAATTTTGTTTTTATCTTATATTATTACAATATATTATTATTACTATTATTATTGTTATTGTTATTATTATCAAAACTATTGTAAAAATGATTTATGGAAATTAAATAGCTTATTTTTTTTGTTTGTTTTGTTTTAAACCACTTTAAAACATTATTTTTTTTAGCGCGGTTTAATTTCATAATATTTCGTAATATTTCATTTTTGTATTAAAATATTTTGGTCAACCATATCAAATGTTTTTAATAGGTCTATAACAGTACCTAATGTATATTGAGATTTTGTGGCGTGGCGCAGTGGTTAGAGTTCTGGCTCAGAACCCAGAGGTCCGGGTTCGACGCCAGCTCTAGCCCAACAAGCGACATTGGTACAGAAAGAGGCGTTAACTTCCTGTTAAATGCTCTCCTGCGGTGCTCTATGATAAGACCGTAAAGGTGAGTTTCCACTCATCCGTTTTTTAACGGGAACGGGATAGGAAAGGGAAAAATAATCACGTGAGCATGCGTAGTTTTCCTTCGGACATATTAAAACTTATACTAAGCATACCCACGTGATTATTTTTCCCGTCCCTTTCCCGTTCCCGTAAAAAAACGGATGAGTGGAAACTCGCCTTTAGGACTTCTGGGAGCACCTAAATACATACAAAAAAAAAAAAAAAAAAAATGATGACATCTTGGTGTAGTTAAGGCGATTTACAAATTATTCAAGTTCTTTCATATGGAATTAGCATGGTTTTGTCAGCATATTATGTCCAAACAAGATCTTTAAATGTTATAATTATTTTGCTTCAGGTTTTTATAATATTTAAAGAAACTTTTCTTTTTTTTATATAATTTTCAAAACCTTTTTACTACTCGTATTAGTGAATCTAAAGAACACCATTTTGGGCTCTTTAGATCAATTCCGTTCATCGGCGTTAACATGGTTTTAGTTAAAATCTTTTGAAAAAGTTCCTTAATTTACTATTGATCCTAGTTCTAATCAGTTCTGACGTATATTAACTATATATAGTTGTCAAAACACAATACTTTTATCAATTTTCACAAAAAGTACTAGAATTCCGACCAAGAAAGAGCTTATAATTTAGAAAAATTGCCAATAAACAATCAGAACAGATCATATTGTTAAACTATCCCAATCAGCATTATATTAATGGGCCAGAGCTGGCGAGCCAGGTCCGGCAAAACACATGTGATCCAGTTAAGGGCCTTAGCTGCCCAACCAGAACTGGCTAGCCATTGCCGGATCATAAAGCCCGTTCTCCATTCAGAACTTTTTGCGCTTTGGAGGAGCGGAAAAGTTCTTTGAGCATGCGCAAAAAGTTCTGATAGGAGAACGGGTTTTAAAAAACTGTTTGCGCATGCTCAAAGAACTTTTCCGCTTCTCCAAAGCGCAAAAAGTTCTTACGGGCTTAAGCGTATTATTAACGGCTCGCCAAAGGTACAAAAATGCATGGTGCAAAATGTTTTTAAAAACATTAATTAATGTAGATGCAAATTTTACGGAGAGAAAAATATCTTTATGTTTACATTCAAGTATATAATTTTCATTATATCACATCCTGTATATTTAGTAATCTTGGTTTTAGTTATAAGCTATTGGACTGAAAGAAAAAAAATTCGAGAAGTTAAAGTTATTTTATTTTAGCTTTTATTTATTTATTTATTTGTCCGAAGTCAATCAGGGGGAAATGGTTATTGATGGAGCCTATAAATATAATTACATAGGTAAAACTGAGTTTTATTTTTCTCTGCCTATTGACGCTTTGCCCAAAACAGTCGTTCAAAGCAATTGCAAAAAACATGGGTTAAATACTTCAGATAATGAACCTTCCAACACCACTGCTCTGGATAATAACCTCAATTTTTCTTATCAAATTGATAATAAAATTAGTGAATTTGAAGCTTTATCTGATAAAGATTCAGATAAAAGTGATAAGAATAATGTAATAGATGAACTAGAGCGTGATTTAACATTTTAATCTTCTCAGCATAATATCACTCAATAATTCACTGACTTAATTTGCTGATCTATGACCAGAGCTGCTTAGATGTTAATGCATCCTAAAATTTTATTTAAATTTGTGTATTTAAATAAAATTCATTATATATATGTATTTTTTATGCTATATTTTATATGATCTCATCATCATTGTCATCATCCTTTATTTTCCTTTATTCTATACATTTATTCAACCTTAATTATATTTCTTTATAATTTCTTTATTTTTAATTTGGCGTTGAGTAAAACAAGTACTTCACTAAGTTTTAATTATTATTTTTTGACTAAAGTATACACTTATTAACTTTTTTTAACGTTAATGTTTAGCCTTAAATTATTATTTTTACTGAACATAATGTTTAGCCTTAAATTATTATTTTTAATGAACATCAAGAATGAAAAAAGTCTTGTCTGCAGATACCTGTCTCTGTATTAAACAAAAGTAAAACAAGATTGGAAAAAGTGATCATAATTACCTCTGTGATTAAGGTATTTTGACTACTAATTTGTAGCCTATTGCAAAACATTTTATGAATTATAATTAATGTTAATAAAAAAATATGAACTAAATTGTTTTACTAGTGGTAACAACTTTTTTTAAGGTGAAGGGAGTAGCAGCAAAAAGGCAAGTAGCAAAAAAATTGAATTGGACAGGGCAAGGTGATCTTCAAAAAAAGTCTTTCTGAATTCTTATATTTCGTCAAGTTATTGAAAGTAAGTTAATAAATATAATAATAAATAAATATAAATATATATATATATATATATATATATATATATATATATATAATATATATATATATATATATATATATATATATATACATATATATATATATATGTGATTCAATTCTAAATTTTGCAGATTCACATGGGCCATGTGAATCTTCAAAATTTAGAATTGAATTGAAAAAGTGATTTGAGTTTCAAAAAAAAAAAGATTCAAGTTATTGAATATTTACTTATTTTGTTTTTGTTGTAGTATTTTTGAATAATTGGGCACTTTTGCACTTTCAAAAAATACTTTGAATACAAAAAATACAACAAACTAACTATAAATATCTATTTAATTTTGAGAAAATACATTGTAAGTAGAATTCTAAATTTTTAGTTATAGGCATTAAAAACTTGTGTCAGGGAAGGAACGATAGGTTCTTTCCGTGACACAAGTTTTGATGGCTATAACAAAAAAGTTATTATTCCACATGCAATATCTTTACCTGAAATTAAATAAGTCTTTATAGGTAACATGTTAGGTATTATTGCCCCCTTCTAAACTATTTTTTTTTTTTTGAATTTCCAATTTAGTTTATAAAGGTCATTCCTTTTGAAAAAGAAAGACTTTTTAATCCTGCCCATATGTATATGTATATATATATATATATAAACAAAGAGAGAGGGATAGTATCCCTATCATCTGTATCTGTATCATACAGATATAGACATATACAGATATATACAACAGCTATATTTAGCTTTACTCTTATAATTTAGTTCATAAAAACACTTGATATATGACTGCGTTTATGTTTATAGAAGCAATACGAAGAAATTTGCTGACAAAAGATACCACATACAGCGAAATTTAAAAGGCAGTTGTGGCTTTTTTTTCCGGAGCTCTAGACAGAAATAGAAGCAGAAAAGAAAAAGCAGAAAAAAAGTCCATCCAAAAAATCAGTTCAACAAAAAATCGTGGCTATACTGCCCAATCATTGACATTGAAACCTTTATCTGGATTATCATTACCACGATTTGAACGCTTTATTTTTGATGACAAAGTATAATGTTCTCAAAGTCTTGCATGATCTGTTTTATATGTTATGTTTTATATTAATTGTATATTTGACATTATTATAAGCTTTACAAGTATTTATATTATTAATGATAAATTTAATGCATTTATTTTTTATATATTTTTAATGCAAATTTATTAACTTGTAAATTATTAACAAACAATATATTATATGAATTCAATTATTGTTTTTTGTGTTTAACTTATGTCTATTTTAACAAAAAGTAAAAAAAAAAACAAAACATAACTGACAAACATAATGGATATAATAATTATTTTTATATAATTATACATAATTTATATATATATATATATATATATATATATATATATATATATATATATATATATATATATATATATATATATATATATATATATATATATATGTATATATATATATATATATATATATATATATATATATATATATATATATATATATATATATATATATATATATATATATATATATATATATATATATATATATAGTCTTGCATGTCTCTTGCGTAGCATCAAAAAATATTTCCCATAAACTGTAGTTTTAAAGAGCGCGTTAATAAACCAGACCAGAAAAAGTTTTAAAAATTAAATTTTTTTTTTTAATTGATAGACTGCCTGGCCAAACCAAACCCTCAGTCGATGTAGCAGCACTCTCTTGCGAGTCAGGCTATTTGTCAGTCGTTGTAGCAGCACTCCCTTGCGAGTCAGGCTATTTGTCAGTCGATGTAGCAGCATTCCCTTGCGAGTCAGGCTATTTGTCAGTCGATGTAGCAGCACTCCGTTGCGAGTCAGGCTATTTGTCAGTCGATGTAGCAGCACTCCGTTGCGAGTCAGGCTATTTGTCAGTCGATGTAGCAGCACTCCGTTGCGAGTCAGGCTAAAAAATAGTCGATGTAGCATCATTTACGCATGTTTAAAAAATGTTTTTTATTAAATCAATAACAAAAACACCACTAATTAAAAAAAACTTTCTAGTCGTTATAATTGCGGTTTTTTAAAAATTTGTTAAAAAACAATTAAATTTAATGTACTTCCGCATAAATTAATTGCTTTGACATTTCGATGACAATCAAAAACAGCTTAAGAGACGAGGTAATTAAAATTGTAGTCGTAAGAGACTTTTTTTACTTTAAAATGCTCTTAAAGCGACACTATATGAGTATATATATATATATATATATATATATATATATATATATATATATATATATATATATATATATATATATATATATATATATATATATACACAAAATAGAAAATGTATTATTATGGTATAATAATAATAATAATACAAATACTCTTGTGCGTTTAAGAGTGCTCAATACTATTAAATAATAGAGCAATATTTATTTATTTATATTAAATGAATAAAAACAACTTTTGGTGGAACTCTGAGTTTCATGACTTTCGGCAAGGTTGTGTTTAGATCATATCCCATTCGCAACGATTAATTTTTACTTGCGTATTTTGCCGAACAACGGAGCAATATTAATAACAACACAACACACGTGCCATATATTATTGTTTGTTACTTAAAATTGCTTTATTACGTGGTCTTTATTTTGTTAACTTTATTGATTTTACAGTGGGTTATTGTATTAATTCATGGATGTAATAGTTGTTAAAGGTTAGTGTTTCTTTCATATACATAATTCTTAACAATATAATAACAATAGTTTTATATATATATATATATATATATATATATATATATATATATATATATATATATATATATATATATATATATATATATATATATATATATATTCATATATTTATATAATTTTTAAATGAATAACAATTTAAAAAAAAAATTTTTTAACAACATCTTTCATCAACATTAATTGATATCGTCAGGTAAAAAAAGTTACAATTTCTATATATAAACAATTTATTTGGCTGCATTAAAAGTTTAATATTTTTACAATTGTTACCATAATTACTTTTTATAAGATAAGTAATTACCATGAAGAAACTCTGACAATAATAGAAAAAGAGTCAGTTGAGTTTTTGCATTTTTGCGTTGAAGTAAGATGTTTGTAAATATAGGATGCCTGATCTAAATTTAAATGTTCTGAAACCGTTGTTGTGTAGTGTCTGGTGTTTTCACCAATATATCCAGCATTACAGCTGGAGCAAACAAATTTATAGACAACAAAGGTTTTTAAATTTGGGGGTTAGGGGTCTTTGATGAAATCATACTACTTATTTTAAAAGTTGTAATAACTAATCTTGCTTTTATATTATCTTTACAATATTTTAAATGTATTTAATTAATTGATGTTAAAATGTATTTGAAAATTTTCCAATATAAGGGAATTTAAAGTAATGTATATCAGATGGTTTTGGAGATGACATGTTTTCTTTAGGAGAGATAAGATTGTTTAGTCAATTTTTGAAGGTTTTGTCAATTAAGTTAAAAGGCAAAAGAGTTTTTTTGGATAGTTTATTTAATTTTTACAATTTCTAGATGAAAACTTGCTGTTTTTTGAAGGCCCTATTGATCAGAGTTTTAATGAATCCTTGTTCATAATTAATATTAGTGAAGCTTTTAAAATTAGTTTGTAAAACTGTGTATTTTTTTTTGAAAAATTTTGAAGTATTAAATTTATAATTTACAGAGTTAATAATAATATCAATAAAGTTCAATTTGCGATCAATCTCTTTCTCTTTATTAAGTTTGGGGTAATTTAATAAACTTAAGAACAGTCACAGTAAATGGATGAGACTTCATTGACGCATAAATTCATGAGAATGAATTTTAGTAGATGGCACAAGAGACACTAGGGCCATCATAGTATTTGTAGAAAAGAGAAAGAGAAGCAACATTAAGATGTGACAATGTTTGGAGATTGGCTGCAAGAACAGGTCCAACTATGTTTACGATTATGCACCTTATCAAAAAGAGAAAGAGCATCATTGGAAGATCCACCCCAGATATGGCAACTATTTCATAAAAGTATGACAGAATCAATAGTAAGAATGTGACAAGCCTGATAAGGAGATGCATGCTATTTTATTTTGAAATGGATTTGATATATGGTTTCTGAGAATGATCAGAGGTAAGAGTTAATTCTAGGAGCCAAAGTGTAGATGATTCATCAAGTATATTACCGTTCATAAAAATAGAAAGATCTCGATTATTGTGATAACGATTAGCTAAAAACTATTAAGTCTTATCTGAGTTAAAGTTCATTAGCCATTCAAAGCCTATATATATATATATATATATATATATATATATATATATATATATATATATATATATATATATATATATATATATATATATATATATATATATATATATATATATATATATATATATATATATATATGTATATATATATATATATATATATATATATATATATATATATATATATATATATATATATATATATATATATATATATATATATATATATATATATATATATATATATATATATATATTAGGGTAGGTCGATTTTAATTCCGCATATTGCGTAATATTGCAGTAGTTGTAGACAGTTAAAATACGATTACTCTCAAAATTTGAGAGATTTTGGATAAAGAATCACTTGCGGATTTAATTTTTAAGATTTGTTGGATTATGTAAAAAAACACCTTAAAAAGCGTTATATGCAAAACTTGACGTTTTAACTAAGTTCATATTTAAATGTTTTTCAATACTATTTGCTTTGCTGTATGATTTAAGTTTATAACAGTTTATAACAATTAAGCTAAATTTATAACAACTTGTTAACTATTTGAAGATTTAAATAGTGAAACTTTTATTCTTATATTTACATGAGAATATCAAAATAAACATTATTTTCACAATTTAAAAACATTTTGGCTATGGATATATATATTTTAGGAAAACATTTTCAATTAAAAAATATCATCATAAGAATGGGAATAATGCCCTTTTGAAATATACGGTTTACGCATCTTCCTGCTAAGTAGTTTAGTTAAAATGCAGCTGTGTCGATTCTCGAATCCATAAACATATTGGGATGCGTCCGACACAAGTTTTACCGCTCGCTCAACACTCTGGGAGTGAGATGGAAAGTCGGGGATTTCAGGTTTAACATTATTGTCAATCGCATATTGGATTTGCTCAATTGAAAAATGTTGTGTTGTTGGGGGCTCCGTAAATTTAGTAATGCTGATATCAACCAACTCATACCAATGATTAGCATTAGAATTAATTTCTGGAATTTTTTTCAAATTTACTTCCAAACTTTCGATGTTTACTCTATAAATATAAATCAAATCCAATTACCACATTTAATGTATCATTTTTTTTCAAAACTTTATTTTAGTTTACTATAAAAAAATACCTTTGCCTTAGACCCAGTAGGATTTGAAAACCTAAGTTTCGTATCTTGCTGTCATTATCTTTTAACATGGCATAAAGAATATTTTCAGGTTTTAGGCACAATGCATTGTTTTTAATGTTTGTTTTTAACAATATATTTAACATCATCAAAGGGGAGATTATTTATTCTAGTGATAGTAGAAAAAATAAAGCGCAGGGATTCGTGAAATTTTGAAGATTTTTTTATATCGAACCACGCTGGAGCGTAAACCTAAACTATAAAACATACGAGTTTTTTTAAAGAAACAGTTGATTGATTGTCTCTAGTATACAAACAGAGAAGGCGAATAGCTATAGTTACCTTGCGTGTAACCACCTTGCGTGGTTAAGCGGTCCAATTTTATAGGCGGCCCATTTATCAGAAACTTTACCAAAAGCCTATTCCTTTGCAATATTCAAATAAAAGTCTTTGATCGCAACTAAGGTCTACTAGTATTTCTTTTGGAATATATCCATCTACAATTGAGTTTTCAATACGATTAAACAAAACTTGATTTTTATCCTGAATATTTTCAGCACATCTTTTGCCAAGTAAACCACTAAAGCTTCTTGGCCCAGTTGTGTCACCATCAAGTTTTACAAAAAGAGCTCGTAACGGAAGTTCATTTTGATGTAATGCGTATTCAATTAGATGTAGTTTTCTTTTTAAAAACTCTTCTAGTTTTACCACTAAGCCACTTATTGGTCCAGTATTGGCAGCAGTATTATCAAGAAGAACAGTTTGCATACTTTCCAAACTGTTATGTTCTTGTAAAACACTAAAC